TGGCATGTGGTGCTGGGGGATTGAACCACGGTCCCTGTGCTTTGCTAAGCTTGTTCTAAGTAGGTGCTTTAGACCACTGAGCCATCTCACCAGCCCCAAAACTTGGGGTTTTTCTAACATACCCAATGAATGCATTCTTCGTGTTTGCAAAGGTGAAGAAAGAAGTGGGTGACATAAGCATTTTGGTAAACAACGCTGGAGCAATATATCCAGCGGATCTTCTCAGCACCAAGGATGAAGAGATTGCCAAGACCTTTGAAGTCAACATCCTAGGACATTTTTGGGTGAGTGAGTCTAGTGAGCGCATGCCTAACACTTCTCTGAGGACACATGAAGTGCACCTATTTCTGAGTGGGAAACTGGCTAAGTACTTGCCTTAAATAAGGGTCATCTAATTTTTGAATAGAAAAACCACCACGAAGGCCCTCAGAGAAGGTACAAAGTTTGGGGGAACACTGCACCCCAGAGTGGGTGGGTCTTTCTTATCCACCAGTGTCCAACACAAATCCTGGCATGTAGCCGACTCCAGCACACAGGTGTGGACGTTTGCTGTGTTGCTCCTAATTCACCTTCTCAGTGCTTAGAGGAAATACACACGCTATACATTTATCTGCAACATCCTTTCCTCATTCAGAACTGAAAGACAGGAGAAGGAACTACTCAGAGGTATGCAGGCAGTGGGCACGTTTGGGTGGGACTCTCAAGTAAGTCCTAGACCCACAGAATGCTGTACATGGAAATATGACTCAAGAAACCTCTTGAATCTGGGTTTGGTTGGGTTTATGTGCAGTACGGGGGATTAAACCCAGGACCTTCGCACTGAGCTACATCCCTACCTGGTTTTTTAAATATTTGAGACAAAGACTTGCAGAGTTGCTAAATTGCCCAAGCTGGGTTTGAACTTGCAGTCCTCCTGCCTCTGCCTCTCAGAGTACTAAGATTACACGCATGTACCATACGTATGGCTTAATTAGTTACTTTGGTCAGAGACTTGAAACAAATTTCAACTGTCCTTGTAGTAAGAATTTATCTTCTCGGACTGGGGAGATAACTCAGTAGAATAAGTGCTTCCCTGGCAAGCGCAAGGGCCTGAGTTCAATCCCCCGTTCCACAAAAAAAAAAAAAAAAAAGAATCATTTAAAAAAATAATAAAATAATTTGTCTTCTCAATATTAGCATAGAACCTGGTACAACCCTGGGTTCGTTCTTTCTTTCTTTGTTTCTTTTTCCTTGGTTTTTTGAGACAGGATCTCACTGTAACCCAGGCTGACCTTGAACTTATGACAATCCTCCTGCCTCATTTTCCTGAGTGCAAGGACTATAAGCATGTGCCACCATGCCTGGTAACTTTGGATTCTAGAAGAAAGAAGGGAAAGGAGATGTGCCTCCTTACCTTCCCCACACACGGTACTATGAATTGGCTATCGTGCCCACCATACTACACAGAGACCTTATGTATTATTCATCTACAGCTGCATAACAATTTATATCAAAGTTCCCAGCACTCTGGGAAGCTAAGGTAGGAGAATCCATGGTTGTGTCCAGCCTGGAAACTTATCAAGATAAAAATAAAAGGGGGAGGGGGCTAGGCACATAGTCCAGTGGGAAGGCCTCACCTTCAATCCCCAGTACTTCTCCCATCACAGGCAACAGTACCTCGGCAGTCTCTCTTCACGTTCTGTGGGTCAGCGGTCTGCAGAAGCCTTGCTTTGGCAGCTCTGGCTCTACACATTTGCACAGGATCTTACAAAATGCTGTTGTTGCCTGGGCATATAGCTCAGCGGCATAAGCACTTGCCTGGCGAACACAAGACCCTGAGTTTGATTCTCAGTAAAATGCTACTCTTATTCTTGTGTAAACATTAAATCTTTTTTGGAGAAAAAGTCTGTTGTTTTCCATAGCATACACACTGTAATATTACATATAGGGAGAGAGGGAATCTACTTATGTAACAATTGCAGGCCAGTATAGAACTCTTTGCTTATTCTACTCCCCTGTCAATTACAGGTACATTCATTCATCGGAAGGAAAAAGCCCCAGACCAAACACAATTGCACAATCCCAGGTTACCATAGGGCATCTCTTTATTCCTGAAAAATTAACTCCTCCCTTAATTGTATCATTCAGGCCTGGGTTAAAGTGCAGGGGTACAGTGCTTGCTTAGTGTGTGTGAGGCGCAGTGTGAACTCCATCACCAGAAAAACAGTGGTAATAATGATGCTGTTCACCTGACACACTCACAAAGGCACTCTCTGTTCCCTCCTGGGGGAAGAAGGAGAATAATAAGGTGGCTTCCCAGCATGACAAGGGGAGCACCACATTCACCAGTGGCCCAAACCCTTAGTCTTCTCTTTTTCATTTCTGACTTTGGTGTAGACTTCTGTGTGGCATGGACTCTTGACAAGTGTTTCACTCTACTGTAAAAGTTCTCTCAAATGCCATTTGAGAAAAACAAACTATCTTATTTGGAAACCTGATTTCTGTGTGGTTGCTTCTCTTTTTTCTGCATTGATCTGAAGATCACAAAAGCACTTCTCCCATCAATGATGAAGAGAAATTATGGCCACATTGTCACAGTGGCTTCGGTGTGTGGCCACGGAGTGATCCCTTACCTCATCCCATACTGGTGAGCTTTTCCAGCTAGCAGAGCTGTCTATTTCTCTACATTTAAGGGATTATTAGAGTTCAGATTCTAATGATCACAGAATGGTGATGTGGATTTGTAGATTTATACATTAGGGTAGACTGATTTTTTAAATAATATCCAAAGCAGGAGACTGGTAGTAATTTTATTTCAAATATTTTTAGATTAGTGAAAATTTTTTAAAGCAATGTAAGAGTCATGTCCAGTATGTTTCCACTCTGTGCTGGCATGAGCTGATGTTGGTAAAGGAAACAAGAAACATATAGATTTAAGCAAAACATACAGACCTTAAAATGAAAATAAATCCATGCTATGGTATAGGTAGCTCAAACCAATATAAGCCAACCATAATGGCTTTGGATCAAAACCTTTTCCAGTGTGATTGTGCAATGAAAGTTCTGTGTGTATGTGTGTGTGTGTGTGTGTGTGTGTGAGAGAGAGAGAGAGAGAGAGAGAGAGAGAGACAGAGACAGAGACACAGAGAGAGAGAGAGAGACAGAGACAGAGAAAGAGAGACAGAGAGAGAGACAGAGAGACAGAGATAGACAGAGGTCCAAGGGTTTTCTAAAACTTGATCAAACTTTAAATGTAGACAATAAACCAGATCTACACGCAGTATACCTCACAGTTTCCTGGTTTCCGACCAAGTTAAGATCCAGGTGCCTGGGCCGGGGAGATAGCTCAGTAGAATAAGTGCTTGCCTGGCAAGCGCAGGGTTCTGAGTTCAATCCCTGGTACCAAAAAAAATCCAGGTACCAGTAAGATCCAAAAGGTGCAATAGGTAGAGTGAAAGGGAAAGAAACTGCTCAACAGGAAACAACGGGGATGGGGAAAAAGACAAGAGAAGGAAGGGAACAAAAAGATAGGAACACACAAGATAGCTAAGATGATTGAACTGCTAATGCCTATCAGCTCGCTGAAAGCAATAGTGCTTACGTTATTTGATCAATTTTGCATGCCTGTACCTGGCGATTCAAGCATCTACTTTGAAGGTAACAATATGTAATACAATAACCACTGTTAATTCCTATCACCTTGTTTTGAAATTCCATGTGGTTTTCTGTGTGTGTGTGTGTGTGTGTGTGTGTGTGTGTCTTTACAATAAAAAAAAGATCCAAATGACAAGTGGCAAGTTGGGCGGGGGGTGTCTTCAAGGTTAGAGCACACTATTGGCATGTTCAAGCCCTTGGTGTCAATCTCCAGCTCCCAAAAGAAATTGGGTACAATCAGAATTCTGTTTGGTCATATGTGAAAAGAAATGGCCACTTAACCTCTTGAAAGAAGTCACGGCACACAGCTCAGGGGAGCATTCTTATTCTTAAGTCATAAGCGAAGACTGTGTCTCACTGACTTACAGCTAAAGGTGACTGATGATTCTCTTCCAGTTCCAGCAAATTTGCTGCGGTTGGCTTTCACCGAGCTCTGACAGCAGAACTTGAAGCCCTGGGGAAAACTGGTATCAAAACCTCATGTCTCTGCCCAGTTTTTGTGAACACTGGATTCACCAAAAACCCAAGTACCAGGTGAAGTTAAAATTCATTCAGGATAGAAACATGGCTTAAGAAATTTATAACAACTGTATGAGAAACTTTTAGGCAGACCAACTGAAAGAATGGAAAAAAATTTTTTTCCATATTAATATTATTGTTTTTTAAATTTTATTTATTTGTGTGTGTGTGTGTGTGTGTGTGTGTGTGTGTGTGGTCAGCTCAGCCCACCAGGGGGCAGGGCTGGCTGGCATGTGGTGCTGGGGGATTGAACCATGGTCCCTGTGCTTTGCTAAGCTTGTTCTAAGTAGGTGCTTTAGACCACTGAGCCATCTTACCGGCCCCATATTAATATTATTGTATTAGTTTCTCTTTGAACTTAAACAAAGGAGGAAAACATCTGAGGGGCTACCCATGAATAAGCAGGAGAAGAGTCAGCCCACACCCCAGTGCCAGGAGTGACTGGGGTCATGGAGGTGGGGTGGGGTCCTCTACTCTGGCCATCACGTCTCCAAGGTAGATGCTACTTAATATTCCATCAATGGTTCGTCCTCACCCATAATAGAGTATATGGAATGGCAAGGGTATGTGCCACTTTATATCAACCACAGCAGTAGCCTGTCTGCTAGCATTTTCCAAACTTGCCTGGAAGTAACTGTTCAGAGGTTCTTCCTGAGAGAGCGTGAGGTGAGCTTCAGGGACGAGGTGTGATATTTTGTTTTGTTTCATTTTACAAGCACACCAGGTGAGTCTGGAAGCGTGTTTAGAAAATGCTGCTCTGGAGAACACCTCAGGGGCATGTGATAGCTGTCACAATCCTGTCCTTAAAAGTGCAAATGTTCCTAGAAGTGACAAGAAATTAAACCCTAGGTCAACTAGTTACTATGAACAGCTACGAGAACTTGGTCTCTGGTGAGAGGATCTGAGACCATCAGAGAGGAAAAACATGTCCCAGGAGAAGAAGAAAAAAAGCATAAAGGTGAAATCTAAGCTCTAAAATTCAGCCAGTAATAATTAATAAATAAATAAAATTCAGCCAGTAGCTTTAGACCCGGGTCTTCTGCTGCAGGGTAACAACATGCATTAAGCTTGCCTGGGAGAAACCAGTTATAACTAAACAAGAATTTGTTCTAAATATAGCTAATAGATGCTCTTGTACTAGCCACCATTGAGCCTGTTGGATCTTAAACTCAGTTAACTGCTGCAGCTGGAGTCTCTCCCTGTGCTGGAGTCTTCTGCAAACCTTAGGTACTGAGCAAGTGCTCAAGACCAAGTGAGCAAACCATGGTACCACACAACTGCGGGCTGTTCTCTTAGGTAGGAAATCAGGCCCACTAAAATGTCTCTTGATGAGTACTCAACCTTGGTGCCTAACGAGCTTTGCCAAAAGTCCCTGCCACTCTTGGAGAAGGTGCAGTAGATGAAGAAGGTAAGGGTAATGTGACCCCGGCTGGTCGGGTTTGGCGGTAACTACAGGGGCGGACAGGCAGATGGGTTTAGGAGTTCAGGATTGTTCTCACCTAGGCTGCAGGATTCTGAATTTCCTCCTCAAGGGTTGATACTGATATGCTAAAGTGAGTTTGACCTTGAGACTGGGTTGAAGATTTCAAGAAAATAAGAGAAAAGAAAGAACCCAATAATCTAGAAAAATATTGGCTTGTATTACTCTCTGCTGGCTTGCCATTCAATGCCATGGAGACGTCCGTTGCATAACAATCTGCAGTAAGTTACATAATATCTCAGGGAAGGACGTTTTCACCTCACTGCTTACCAAACCCCTCTAACCACTTCAGCTCACAGCTAGATGCCTTAACTTCAGCACATTTTAAGTCCATTTATATTTTAATCTTTTGTCACTACTTTGCACTGTTGGGCAATTCCATACTGTGCTTATGGTTCTGAGTGTTTCTCAAGTCAGTCATTAGCTAGAGAAGTTTCTAATGTTAATATTCCTTGTGCAAATCTTAAATTCCCATGAAACTGAGATAGGCAAGTCAGAGGCGAATCTCAAGTACCAAATGCCCTCAAAGCAAGCTTTCTGGAAAGACCTCACAGAGAGGGAGGTACACTTAGTTTTAGAATATCTTCTTCATAACCAACAGACTTTGAGATGTCATGTGTTCCTTTCCAATCCCATGATTAATCCTACCTGTTTTTCTTTGTTCTCTGGGTCTTCTGTTACTTACCATCTAATGCATCTCTACTATGAGGGAGATACCAGAAATCAAACTCAGGGCCTCTCACTTGCCAGGCAGGCACTGCCCTGCTGAGCTATATCACATCTATCCCCTACCCTCTGAGCTATGTCCACTATTTGGATATTTTTTACTCGGTGAGGTAAGAAACACTCCTACTAGATATAAAAGGGTAAGAGTATAATACCTAACAATAACCCAATGTGTGGAGGAAGGGGAGAGGTAGCATTTGTATTGTGAATCCGAAATATGTTAATTCTAAATAATGGTGAGCACCATGTGTTAAGTAGACATTAAATGTGTTTGTTCATGAGGAACATAAGGTTTTGCAATAAATAAATGAATGAATGAATAAATAAATAAATAAATAAATAAATAAATAGTAGTGGACAGATAGGTTAATCCCTTGTACCCAAACAAAGAAGTAAATGAAATTTTGAAAGTAGAAATAACTTTTGTCTTTGTAACTACAGATTATGGCCTGTATTAGAGACAGATGTTGTTGCAAGATGTCTGATAGATGGAATTCTCACCAACAAGAAAATGATTTTTGTTCCATCCTATCTCAAAATTTCTCTAACACTGGAGAAGTAAGTATGCACAGAATACCTATGATGCTAAACACAAGTGAACTCCCCAACACTTGTTTCATTGATTTGGTTTTTTAAAAAATTTTATTTATTTGTGTGTGTGTGTGTGTGTGTGTGGCCAGCTCAGCCCACCAGGGGGCGGGGCTGGCTGGCATGTGGTGCTGGGGATTGAACCGCGGTCCCTGTGCTTTGCTAAGCTTGTTCTAAGTAGGTGCTTTAGACCACTGAGCCATCTCACCAGCCTTTTTTTTTTTAAGTTGTGGACAAGTTGAACTATGAACAGCTGTGGAAGTTGCTATGGAAACCCTCTATCTCCCTCCCACCACCACCACACAGTGCCATTCCTTCTGCTATTGCCTCACTTCTACAGAAAAGGAATGATTGCTTTTTTCTACTCTACCTATCATCTCTGTCCAATCTTTGTTAAAAACTGTCCAGGCTGAAGTAGCAACAGTTCAAAAAGAGCACAATATAGTTAAGTGGTTCATAAATGCTCAATTTTTTTAAAAGCTTTCTGGGATTTTGGTTGAGATTGCATTGAATCTGAAAGCCAATAACTGATCTAGTATTAACCATACTGAGTCATCCGATCCTAGAACACACTCTGTTTCTCATTTTATTATCTGCTTTGAAATCTTTAGGCAGTGTATTGTAGAATTTGGTGTTAAAGTCTTATACATCTTTCATCAAATTTATCCCCTGATGTGTCATGGTTTTAATGCTATTGCTAATGGCATTAAAATTGCTATTGGTATATGTTTGTGATACAAAATAAATGCATTCATCATACGGAATTGGAACTTACACATATTGTATCTGGATCCTGTTTACTTCACATACTAGTTTATTTCCTACAACGTGGAAGAGTTCCTCTTTCCCCATAACCTCCCCAACACTTGTTTCATTGTTTTGTTTATATTGTTTTTTTGTTTGTTTGTTTGTTTTTAATTCCTGATGTTTCCCATTCTTTCTGGACTAAGATAGAATTTCCATGTTGCTTTGATTTGCATTTCTCCCAGGGCCAAAGATGTTGAATGATTTCATGTTTACTGGCCTCTTGTACTTCTTTTTTGGGAAGCATCTATTTCAGTTGCACATTTTTTGATTGGTCTTTTATGGGGAGCGGAGGTGTCTAAGTTTTTTGAGTTCTCTGTATATTCTTTTTTTTTTTTTTTTTCCAGAACCGGGGATTGAACTCAGGCCCTTATACTTACCAGGCAAACGCTTATTCTACTGAGCCATCTCCCAGGGCCCATTTTGTATATTCTTGATAATAATCTTTTATCCAACAAGTAGCTCGCAAATTTTCCTCCTTTTGTGGTCACCCCTTCTCTCTGGTTATTTCCTTTGCTGCACAGAGCCTTTTAAATTAGACGTAATCCCATTTGTTAATTCTTTGTACTATTTCTTGTGCAATTGGGATTCTGTTCAGAAAGTCCTTCCTTTGTGTATATTCTCACAACTTTTACCTAATTATTTCCAACAGATTCACTGTTTCTGTTTTCCATCTAGGTCTTTGATCTACTTGATTTGATTTTAGTACAAGTGGAGAGACAGGGATCTAGATTCAATCTTCTGCATGTGTGTAACCAGTTTGCCCAGCACTATTTATTAAAGAAATTAGCTTTCCTCCAACATGTGTTGTGACCCTTTTCTCAAAAATTAGATGGCTGAAGGTGCCTGGCATTGTTTCTGCATCCTCAGAAAAAAATTACCTTCCTCATTGTTTGTTATTAGTATAGATTTACTTTTGCATTTTGAATTTACCTCCTTGCAAAATTTTTTAAACATTTAATTGCTAAATTGTTTTACAGATTCCATCAGATTTTCTACATAGTCATTTTAACCTACCAAGAGATACTTCTAGTTTTCCTCTACAGCTCCCTACCCCCACCCCTGTCTTCAATACCCAATTCTCCCTGAATAGGGAGCATGCATCCAAGTGCTCCTGCTGCTCTTAGGAGGGCTCTCAATCTTTCACTAGTAACCACGTTAGCTATAGAAGTTTTCATCAAATACCCTTCATCAAGTTGAGAAATTTCTCTCCTATCACTGCCTTGATGAGAGGTTTTTTGTTTTTGTTTTCTAAAATCAAGCAAATAGAGATTTAGCCAAATACTTTCTCTGATTTTTTTTTTTCTTTTCCTTCTGTTCCTTGGATCAAACTCTGGACCTCGTGCTTGCAAGGCAGGCACTTATGCCACTGAGCTATCTCCCTGGCCCTCTCAAAATTTTTTGAGATCATATAGTCTTTCCATTTCAAGTTTGTTAATACTGTGAATTACGGATTCATCTTAAAGGATAAACCAGGCCAGCATTATATCTGTCTGATTTTGCATCTAAGTAAGACTGGCATCACAGAATGAACCTGAGAGCACTCCCTCCTCTGGAAGAGCTTATGTGGGATTGGTATTATTTTGCCCTTAAACTTTTTTTTTTTTTTTTTTTTTTTTGGCAGTAGTTAAGCTTGAATTCAGAAAGCCCAAGGGTTCTGAGCTATATCAAGAACTAATTGGGGCTGGTGAGATGGCTCAGTGGTCTAAAGCATCTACTTAGAACAAGCTTAGCAGAGCACAGGGACCGCGGTTCAATCCCCCAGCACCACATGCCAGCCAGCCCCGCCCCCTGGTGGGCTGAGCTGGCCACACACACACACACACACACACACACACAAATAAATAATTTTTTTTTTTAAAAAGAACTAATTTATTTACTTATTCATGTATATATACAGTCTTGCTAATTGCCCAGATTGGCCTCAAACTTGGCGCCCCTGGGCTTCAGCCTGAGTAGCTGGGATTGCAGGGGTTGTGCACCAACACGCCAGCCTCCTTAAACATGTGAGAGAACTCACTAGCAAAGCCACTGGGCTTGTAATTTTCTCAATGGGAAAGTTTATAATTACAAATTGCAAAGTGATATTCCAGCTATTTATTTATTTATTTCTTGTAATGTGTCTTTTAAGGAATTTTCTTATTTCATCTAAGTTGTCAACTATAGTGGCATAAAATTATCTTATTATCCTTTACATCTTTTTTTGGCTTTTAATGCATAATTTTTTTTATTCTGTGAAAGGTAACTACATATACAGAGCAAAACTTTTCATTTTTAAAACTAATGTTACTAACCCATATTATCACCTATATGTAAATACCGTATTCTATAGCTGATTATTAGTTAGGTGTAAGTCCAACAATGTATTCTTCTAACTGTTTAAGCAAAAAACTAGAAGTTTCCCAGAGGCACCTCCTGAACCATGCATCCCACATGACCACAGCAGATCTCTACCAACTGAGCAGAATGGCTGGAGGAAGGAAACCATTACACAAGGGAGATGGCTTCAATTTAATTTTTCACCCCTCAAAAATGTAGATATACAGAGACGAACCCTTCATAGAAGTCAAGAACAAATCAGTGTCAGCTCATTTCAAAATCCGAAGAGGTATGGCGCAGATGAAAGGCAAAATGTGGTTTCATTAGTGATTCTAAACCTTGCATCTTACAGGCCAGTGTAAAGTCTGTACTTGATTACAGGCATCCTAATCCCGTCCCACTCCAAGAATACAAGAGGAAATAATCTGATAATCATAAAAGCCAGGCCCGTTTGGCACAGTGATACAGCTGGAGAAAATATCTAGGGAGGTGCCCTGCCCCGAGTACATCCACTGCTAACAGCTCTCTTAAGGGGCCTGGGTCACAGTTAGGGGTTTCTAGGGTTAGAGTACTAAGGAGCCAGAGGGTCAATAGAGAGAGTCCTTGCTGGTTCTCATCGAGGCTCAGGAAGTTTATTTTTGTAATCCTATGAAAAGTTATTGGAATTTTACTACATTAACTCCAATTTACCACTTCTAGTGCAACCTATGGTGCGAATAAAGACATTAAAGCATATTTTCAGTTACAAGGAGCCAAGGGGTCCTAAGTACAGCCATGATGATGGCTATCTGAAAAAAGGGCCTCTACCCAAGGCCAAACTTGTGTGTTATTCATTTGTGAATAAAGGAGTGGCTTGAGGATGAGTTACTGTGAGAAAGGCAGGACGTAGGTGAGTGCTGGGCTAGGTAGGAGACCTGAAATCACCTCTACAAAGAAAGAGTAACCTGCATTGCACAATTGAGTTAATATCTCGTGTTTTGGGATCCAGTGCTTCAGCTCTGATGTGTAATCTTTCAAGCTCCAAGCAGTCGTGGCCTCTGTCTTGAGACTTGACCCCAGCCGACAGCATGGGGCATTAGCCCTTCATCCTGTCTCATCCAGGCTCACACAATGGAGCAGTAGGTGGGGGTTCCAGGGAAATGCCCTGCTGTCTTCCAAGACTACCACCAACACCTCGGCGAGACCAATATGCACTGCTCAAAGCCAACTGAAGGGATAAGGCAAAGTCCTAGCCAGCTCTGTACATATCAGTATATGGAAATAAGGTCAGGCTCAGCCAAAAGGGAGACAACTGTTCCTCTTTCAAGGAGAGTTGCCCAGGTGGTCTTCCACATGCCAAGAATGCCAGACCCCCTGGCAGAAAGTCACCAGTTGCCCTAGGCACTGCCCTGGCCTCTGCATGGCCTCAAGCTCATCAACATGCTGCTTACTTTTGGCCTGCTGGGTCTGGCACAGAGTCTTGTATCTATCCTGGCTTTGCCTTGTGTTCTCATGGTGGATGATGTCCTTGTGAGTCAAAGTTCAAATCTCCAGATTTAGATCATTGATGACATAAGATTTTATATAATTTTACTAAAATAAGATGCAAGGGGGCCGAGGAGATGGCTCAGTGGAATAAGCACTTCCTTGGCAATCACAAGGGCCTGAGAGAAGAATCTCCGGTTCCGCCAAAAAATTAATTAATTAATTAATTAATTAAATTAAATAAGATGCAAGAGGGCTGGGGAGATAGCTTGGCAGTCTAAGTACCTGCCTGGCAAGCAAGCACAAGGACCCGCGTTCAATCCCCAGCCAAATGCTGTGCTGGTCCCCTGCCATGTTGGCCCCCTGCTGTGCTAGTCCCAAACCAGGCAAGGTGGTACATGCCTGTAATGCCAGCACTGAGGAGGCTGAGACAGGAGGATCGCTATGAGTCTGAACTGTGTAGCAAGCCCTTGTATCAAATAAATAAATTAATTAAGATGCAAGAGTAAGAAGAGTGTTATGGACCAGTCTTTATTTGCATGCAGTTTGAGCTATTACTATTAAGAGAGATGGGGAGAGAAAGAAAAGAGGCAAATTAAATCCCAAGGCATTTAAAAGCTGACAACAAACAGGGACTCTGGTGTCCAAAATTTTAAAATGAATTTTTTTCTTCTTTTTTTTCTTTTAATATAGGTTTCTTCCTGAACGTGCTTTGGCAGCTATAAGTCGTATCCAGAATGTTCAGTTTGAAGCAATTGTTGGCCATAAAATCAAAATGAAATGATGTGTTCCAGAGATGTAAAACATTCATGATTTGAATCTAAGCTCGAAGTCTATGCTTCATTTCTTCCTCTTACACTTTTCTGTGCTTTAACATTAAAATATTTCTGCATCAGGAGAAATCCAATCAACAAGATCATCCCTATTTTCTAAAAAATAGACAACTGTGATTTCTATTATCAAATAGAAATAAATCTCTACTGTATATAAACAACACAGTCTGTGGTTTTTGGTTATAGCATCAAGAATGAATGGGGGGGCCGGGGAGATGGCTCAGTAGAATAAGCACTTGCCTGGCAAGCGCAAGGGCCTGAGTTCAATCCCCAGTTCCGCAAAAAAAAAAAAAAAAAAAAAAAAAAGAATGAATGGGCCAGGGAGATAGCTCAGTGGAATAAGTGCTTGCCTGGCAAATGCAAGGTCCTGAGTTCAATCCCTGGTACCACCAAGGAAAAAAATAAATAAATAAAATTGCATTCAAAACCCAGGCTGCTAATTTAAAAAAATGTACTAAGACTATATCTTTTGGAAATCCAAGTAGTAAATGTGTTCTTACACATAGTTAGAATTTTGAGCAAACACTTTACAGATGACTAAATATAGAAACTCTGGGCTAGAGAGTAAGATCATTAAAATTTTGGACACACACTGACAAGTTATCTCCGAAAAATAGTTGTGATGCTTTTTATTTTTTGGAAGATTTTGTTGTTGCTCTAAATTGGTTCTTTGTGGAAAAAAAAAATTTGTACTGTTTCCTTGACTTACAAATTAGAGAGGATTTTCTTCCTCGAAATTGTTCTTCAGTGTTGAGTTTTTCTCACAGCTTAGGAGTAAATAATTAAACTATTTTATTTGCTTAACTCAGTGAGCCAAATATTCACACAGCTTTCAAATTGTGAAATCTCAACACCTTGTTCTTTATTTTAGAAGTCCTTGAACATATTTGGTTTTCATTTTACTTTACTGAAACACAGGCAACTAAACAACTTCTGATTATAGACATATTAGCAACAACACAATCCTTTCAGAATAAACCCTAATGTTAAGTGCAGAGGAAAAAACTCTGCTTTTTGTAGTTATTATTCAGATTTATTAGTTTGTTTGGGTTTTGGGGAGTTGAATACAAGGCTTTGCCCATAATAAGCGAGTTCTCTAGTGCTGAGCCTCACCCCCAACCCCAGACTTCCTGTTTGTTTGTTTTTTAATTTTTTAAATTTATTTATGTGTGTGTGTGTGTGTGTGTGTGTGTGTGTGGCCAGCTCAGCCCACCAAGGGGTGGGGCTGGCTGGCATGTGGTGCTGGGGGATGGAACCGCGGTCCCTGTGCTTTGCTAAGCTTGTTCTAAGTAGGTGCTTTAGACCACTGAGCCATCTCAGCAGCCCAGACTTCCTGTTTTAATTCCATTTTTGTCCTACTCTTTTACAAGGGGAGCTTACAAATAAGCACAATACTTAGTTCTTTTGCCCAGTTTTCTTGCATTTTTTTTTCTTGTATAGACTTATCCCTTATTAGTTCTAGGTACATTTCTTAATGTCTTACTATGACAATCTCCATTTTATAATTCTCCCCAAGGATCTTCACTCCAAAACTCTAGGGCCGGACCTCCACTGCAGTGTGTACACTCAGGCAAATGTTTTTGTTTTTTGTTTTAGTAAAACAAAAATGTATTTACTTAGAAGCTTTCAGAATGTCAACCAAACAGTTGCAAATTTTTTTGCAATTGCAGAGTGATTTTCAGTTAATAGAACAACAATTATTTCATATAAGCTTCATCAGAGACATTTGAAGATGAAAAACTACCAACCCCATATATAACTCATTTGCGCTGTACACCAACAAGAACCAGCTTTAAATTCCCATGCCAATTTACAACCCCCATACTGTACCAGGCAAGGTTAGTGGCTATTGAAAATACCACCAGGACAGGGCTATCTAAAGACACATTTGGTAGTGTGTTAACTATACAAAAAAAAGACACTGTACAGCTGAAAAACAAATTTTTATTTTATTTTTTTCAGAACTGGGGATTGAACTCAGGCCCTTGCACTTGCCAGGGAAGCGCTTATTCAACTGAGCCATCTCCCCAGCCCCCCTGAAAAACAAATCTTACACAGCCTTACATTGCAATTTTTTTTCTTTAAAAGGAGTGAGTTGGGGCCGGGGAGATGGCTCAGTGGAATAAGCGCTTCCCTAGCAAGCGCAAGGGTCTGAGTTCAATCCCAGGTTCCACCAAAAAAAAAAAAAAAAAAAAAAAAAAAGAGTGAGTTGCATTAAATGCTTTATAGACAGGAAAAACCTGCGCTAGAACCAACATATTCATCATCATCCTCTACTTCATCCTCCTCACCTTCTTCATCTTGTTTCTCTTCTTCATCCCCATCTTCCTCCTCCTCCTCCTCCTCTTCCTTCTTTTTCTTGCTTTTTTCAGCCTTGACGACTCCCTTTTTTGCTACATCAGGCTTTCCTTTAGCCCAATAGGCAGCGATGTCCTTTTCATACTTCTCCTTCAGCTTAGCAGCCTTCTTCTCATATGGCTGCTTGTCATCTGCTGCAGTATTGTACCAGATTTCTCCAAGTTTCTTTGCAACATCACCAATGGAGAGGCCAAGATGTTCTCCTTTGATTTTTTTTTTCTTTTCAAAGTTTTATTGATAAACATATAGCAATGAGACAGTTTCAAATCAAATCGAAAGTACAGTTTCAACAAATAATACACTGCATATATTCTTCTTAGTGGTTAATTGCTGTACAAGATGCAGACTTGTGATCCTACTTACAAACACCATTAGAATCTCCTTTGATTTTTGGGCAATACTCAGAACAGACCAAGAAGAAGGCCAAAGGAGGCCTCTTGGGCGCATCGGGATCCTTGAACTTCTTTTTTGTTTCTCGTTTAGGAGGAACATAAGTTTTCATTTCTCTTTCATAATGAGCTTTGTCCATATTTTCCATGTCTTCATATTTTCCTTTCTCTTTAGCAGACATGGTCTTCCACCACTTCTTAGAAAACTCTGAGAAGTTAACAGAAGCATCTGAGTGTTTCTTCTTGTGCTCCTCTCAGCAGGTTAGCACAAAGAATGCATATGACGACATCTTGCCTCTCAGCTTCTTAGGATCTCCCTTGCCCGTGTTTACTTGTTTTCTCTGCGAGGTACAGAGTCGCCCAGTGCCCGTCCAGCTCTCCCTTTCCCCAGCACTGTCTCTATGAAGCTCAGTGTACTGCAATGGCCAGAAAAATGTTTCTTGCAGGGCTTCTGTCTATATAAACAATTTGAATTCGAATGTATCACCAAAGCAGTAGGCCCATGTGCACATTGCACTGAATTTTTGATGGAGATTAGAAGACTGAGATTTTGTTTATTGTTTAGTTAGTGCATGTAAAGGTCTTTCTTGGTATCCAAGTGACCGCTTTTCTAGTTTGGTCCAGGAATAATTTCTTTGTTTCATTATTAAATTTATTTTTGCCAATTTCATACCTTCCCCACAAAAAAAGGGATGGTGGTGCTGATGTTACCCAGAATGCTCTGGTTCTCTGTGACCTGTGTATATTTGAAATGAAATGAATCTTCCACTTGCTGAAGCCTTGCTGTCATGTGCTTATTATTAGTGAATCCATTACTTTGAACACTGACTCACGCATTGTGCTACCCATGAATAATAGTTTCCAGTCACTCAGATTTTTACTGCGCGTTTTGAAGAAAACCACAAAATTAACGCTTACCCAAGGTATACTACAGGGAAACATAAGTGACAATTTTGATAGCCATTCATGGTAAATGTATCATTTACAATGTTTTAACAGAGCAGCACATCTTACAACTATGCCTTGACTTGAACTCTGTAGGCCTTGATCATTGCATTCCTGGGTCGATGTCTTTCAGGTTAAGTCTTCCCTGCCTCCCATACACCACTTACTGCAGAGAAAGGATTCTAGGCAAAAGCAAATCAGCAGTCTCATTTGTGCAAAGAGAGTGTGTCCTTCATCCAGGACAGCTGAATCATCCAGAAAGATCTAATATGTGCTGGACCACTCATTTTCGAAGACTTCACAAGAGACAGATGCAGCCATTGACAAGAGATGCCTGGCCCATGGCATAGAATCTATAGAAGAGATTGTGACTGACCTCAGTGTAGGTGACAAGGGGCATGAGAACATCTGATTCATCCCTGCCGCTCTCGGATCTTATATATCAGAGATGCCACCACCCGCAGAACATAAAGAATGAAAGTAGATGAGGACACACTCACGAACCTTTGACAAAACTCCTTAAACATCTACAGCCATAGCTACAACTCGTGTTGCACAGGTCCTGCTTTACCTTGGTCTTAACCATCCAGCAGAAAAGTAAGAAGACGAAATATAGGAAGTAAAGCCATGCTGTTATGTTGAACTGTGGGGGACTCAGGTCAATAATTTCTGACATTGCCAGTTAAACAGAAGACCCAATGCTATTATGGGCTACTGGACTCTTTTAGAATATTTTGCTGAGTTTACACACCTATAATATTCAATAACAGAACTTAGAAAAAATGGGGTATACCGATGAATGTCCATTTTGTATCTGTGTATTCAAAGTGGTTAGGATAGATATATAGTTGCATTCTCTTAATGAATAGAATGATGTGTTCTAATGGTGTTTGTAAATAGGATCTCAAGTCCGCATCTTGTACAGCAATTAACCACTAAGAAGAATATATGCAGTGTATTATTTGTTGAAACTGTACTTCCGATTTGATTTGAAACTGTCTCATTGCTATCTGTTTATCAATAAAATTTTGAAAAAAAAAACATCTACAGCCCTGAATTAGACCTATGTCCAAGGGGATTGGCAATCATTCAAAATCAACATGTTGCCATCATTCTGGAAGCATAGTTACATAGTATCTTGCAAAGGAAATACTATGCCTAGCAGAAGCAATCTGCTCACGAGGCTGTCCTCCTGAAAATGGTGCATAGAATTAGGGCCCAATGGACACGGACCCTAGAGCTTTCTGGGATAATTTGTGAACTCTATGTGTAGGAACAGAAAGAGAGGGGGAGAGAGAGGGAGAGGGAGAAGGAGAGAGAGAGAGGGATGGGGAGAAAGGGACAGACAGACAGACAGACAGACAGAGAAACAAGAAAGAACATGCTCTAAAGGGGAGAAACAGAAGA